GGGGCCCCCTACTGACCCCGGGCCCTCGGGCGCTGCCCGAGTTTCCAAATGGTCAGTCTGCCCCTGGTGCCACCAATGATTTCGAAAAGCGTTCGTTTTTCACGAATTTTCCAGCATGCGCGATAAACAAAATGGGCAGGACCAGGAAAATCGGCCGGTGCCATTGCCCCACTAACAGAGCGAAATTCGGCCGATTATTCTTAGGTCTGATTTTCGAATGAAAAATCGTTTGAAAAATCGACCCGTGTATGGCCGGCCTTTCTTTTGAGGACTTGTTCATATGGGAATACTACAGAGTACACACTTGTGAGGGTCTGCGATTGCCTGCACAGGGATGCACAGGTGTCATGACAGAATTTAAAAGTGTATGAATAGGTACCGTTGTGCTCAAAAGTTTGCACCCCCTGGCAGAAATGGTGACATTTTGGCACTGAAACTGAAAATATGAACGATCGTGACAAAAAAATGTCTTATATTGAAGGATGATGATCATATGAAGCCATTTATTTTCACATAGTTGTTCGGCTCCTTTTTAAATCCTAATAACAGAAAACCCCAAATGGCCCGGATCAGAAGTCTCCGCCCCCAGATCAAACGTTTCCCTCCCCTGGCATGTTTGGCCTTGGTACAGACACACAAGGTGACACACACGGGGTAAAATGCCAATTAGAGGTTAATATCCCACATCTGTGGCTTTTTAAAATTGCAATTAGTGTCCGTGTAGAAATAGTCAATAATTTTGTTAGCTCTCACGTGGATGTGCTGAGCAGGCTAGATACTGAGCCATGGGGAGCAGAAAAGAACTGTCAGAAGACCTGCGTAACAAGGTAACGGAACTTTATAAAGATGGAAAAGAATATAAAAAGATATCCAAGGCCTTGAATATGCCAGTCAGTGCTGTTCAATCACTTATTAAGAAGTGGAAAGTTTGGGGATCTCTTGGTATCAAGCCAAGGTCAGGGAGACCAAGAAAGATTGCAGCCCACTAATTGCAATGTAAATGTGGGAATGTAATAGAAGAATATAAAAGGATATCCAAAGCCTTGAATATGTAAGAGTTATGATAGAGTTAAGAGAAAAGCTCACACCCCTGGCAAAATCTTTAGCAAGGTAGACACCTCTAATATTTATTTATTTCAGGTACTTATATAGCACCATCAATTTACATATATATTGTACATTCACATCGGTCCCTAACCCTCAAGGGGCGTACAATCTAAGGTCCCTAACCCTCAAGGGGCGTACAATCTAAGGTCCCTAACCCTCAAGGGGCGTACAATCTAAGGGCCCTAACCCTCAAGGGGCGTACAATCTAAGGTCCCTAACCCTCAAGGGGCGTACAATCTAAGGTCCCTAACCCTCAAGGGGCGTACAATCTAAGGTCCCTAACCCTCAAGGGGCGTACAATCTAAGGTCCCTAACCCTCAAGGGGCGTACAATCTAAGGTCCCTAACCCTCAAGGGGCGTACAATCTAAGGTCCCTAACCCTCAAGGGGCGTACAATCTAAGGTCCCTAACCCTCAAGGGGCGTACAATCTAAGGTCCCTAACCCTCAAGGGAGTACAATCTAAGGTCCCTAACCCTCAAGGGGTGTACAATCTAAGGTCCCTAACCCTCGAGGGGCGTACAATCTAAGGTCCCTAACCCTCAAGGGGTGTACAATCTAAGGTCCCTAACCCTCAAGGGGCGTACAATCTAAGGTCTCTAACTCACATTCATACATACACATACTAGGGCCAATTTAGACCAGATCCAATTAACCTCCCAGCATGTCTTTGGAGTGTGGGAGGAAACCGGAGTACCCAGAAGAAACCAACGCAGGCACAGGGAGAACATGCAAACTCCAGGCAGGTGGTGCCATGGCTGGGATTCGAACCAATGACCCTAGTACTGCCAGGCGGAAGTGGTAACCATTTAGCCACTGTGCTGCCCATACGTTTTATTATTCAATCACATTAGGAAGTGAAAAATTTGGGGATCAGTTGATACCAAGCCAAGGTCAGGTAGACCAAGAAAGATCGCAGCCACAACTGCCAGAAGGATTGATCAGGATACAAAGAAAAACCCACAGGTCACCTCAGGAGAAATACAGGCTGCTCTGGAAAAAAGACGGTGTGGTAGTATCAACGAGCACAATACGACGATACTTGAACAAAAATGAGCTGCATGGTCGAGTTGCCAGAAAAAAGCCATTACTGTGCCAATGCCACAAAAAAAAGCCTAGTTACAATATGCCCGACAACACCTTGACTTGCTGTGCTTTTGTGTGCTCTTGGCACAGTAAAGGCTTCTTTCTGGCACCTCAACCATGCAGCTGCCAGGGTATGCAAACTTTTGGGCACGAATGTACACCGGCAGACACGGGCAGCGGATGAATCTGAGAAATGCAGATTAGTACAACGAGGACAGGAGGAGCGGGGAGGCTGTTAGGAAGTTGCCTTTATTTATATTTTTTTTTTTTCAGAAATGGATATAAAAAAGGTAGAGATGCCCTTTAAATTGAATTAAAGCACCGTGTCAAACATGTCACGTTCTGTCAAGAGGAGTTTAGACATGGATTCCAGAAGATTACAAACTGGTTCAGGCGGTCGATTAATTTGTATGTCTCAAAGCCATTGACCCATCGCAGGAAAAACACAAACTGCTCTCTGAAGAAGATGGAGACATATGGAGACATATGGAGACAGTTTTCTCTGTGTATTATCGTCTCGGATTTGTATATTCGTCTTGTGAGGTGATCACACTGGAAGGATATTTGTACATTCCAGCCTGGAGAAGATGTATGTGAGGGGGACCCAAGCTTTGATCCCTCCGAGGTGAGCGCTAAGGCCTTGTAAAGCCAGGGTCAGTTGTGCATAAGGAGCAGTGTGTGAAGTAAGTATGAGCTCCGGAGTGTTCGGATCCTAGTCCCAACCCACCTGAGAGATTCAGCTAGACCATTCTCATTGTAGTAGGCCAGGGGTAGGCAACCTGAGATCCGCAGGACTACAAGTTCCATCATGCCTCTGCAAGTCATAGCTGTAACTGTCAGTTTTGTGATCTTTGCAATGCCTCATGGGAAATGTAGTTCCACAACAGCTAGAGAGCCGCAGGTTGCCTACCCCTGTAGTAGGCCAATCTTAAGTGGTCAGGGCATTCATTGCCCTGCAGCTGCAAATATACACACTCCTTGTATACATGCAACTGAAATCTAGGGAATGTCCCGGCCACTTAGGCTTGGCATAGATGGATCGAATCTTGGCCAGTTCAGCAGGGAACAACTGAGATTCAATCTATGGGCAAGCTGGTTGTACCCAAGTCGATCGATGGATCAACTTGGGTACAGCCAGCCTGTCGGATTTTTTAAGTTCGATTACGGCTGGTGTCTATAGCCGCTAACAGTAATCATTGTGTTCTGCCGTCAGGGAAAGCTCCCTACCAGCAGAACACAATACCACAATAGGCGCTCCCACCTCCGCTGCAATCGCCTAGGCCAGTGGTGGGCAACCTTTTTTTTCAACTGAGCCAAATCTCGCCAAAACCACGATTGAAATTTATTTTGAGAGCCACATTTTTAAAAACTGAAAATACATAGGATGGTACACTGTTTTTAGTTTCAATAAGTTTTTATAGTAATTCATCCCCCATAGTAATTCACCCCCCCATATAGTAATTCATCCCCCATATAGTAATTCATCCCCCATATAGTAATTCATCCCCCATAGTAATTCACCCCCCATATAGTAATTCACCCCCCATATATTAATTCATCCCCCATATATTAATTCATCCCCCATAGTAATTCATCCCCCATATAGTAATTCATCCCCCATAGTAATTCATCCCCCATATAGTAATTCATCCCCCCTATAGTAATTCATCCCCCATAGTAATTCATCCCCCATAGTAATTCATCCCCCATATAGTAATTCATCCCCCATATAGTAATTCATCCCCCCTATAGTAATTCATCCCCCCTATAGTAATTCATCCCCCATAGTAATTCACCCCCCATATAGTAATTCATCCCCCTTATAGTAATTCATCCCCCATATATTAATTCATCCCCCCTATAGTAATTCATTCCCCCATATAGTAATTCATCCCCCATATAGTAATTCATCCCCCCTATAGTAATTCATCCCCCATATAGTAATTCATCCCCCCATAGTAATTCACCCCCCATATAGTAATTCATCCCCCTTATAGTAATTCATCCCCCATATATTAATTCATCCCCCCTATAGTAATTCATCCCCCCTATAGTAATTCATCCCCCATATAGTAATTCATCCCCCCTATAGTAATTCATCCCCCATATAGTAATTCATCCCCCCTATAGTAATTCATCCCCCCTATAGTAATTCATCCCCCATATAGTAATTCATCCCCCATATAGTAATTATCCCCCATATAGTAATTCATCCCCCATATAACTATTCCCCCCCAAGTAGTAAGCAAAGTCCCCCCTGTGTCAATTCACTTACCTTTGCTCCGCGCGTTCCTCTCGCCGTGTTCCCGCGCCGTTCCGGTCTTCAGGGCGGACTGTGAGAGTAGCCTAGCTCCTTTCACGTTCGTCACGCTGCCCCCGCCTACACACATCCTGACAGCCAATCACTGGCTATCAGGATGTGAGTGACAGCGAGACTGGCCAATCATTGCATTTGAGCGCGCTGCCCTGGCTGTTTTTTTTTTTTTTTGGATCACGCTGCAGAGTCCCTGCCGCCCGAGAGGAGGGAGGGGAGCGGGCGCCCGGCACACAAGAGCCGCATTAAAGCGTGTAAAGAGCCGCATGTGGCTCGCAAGCCGCGGCTTGCCGACCACTGGCCTAGGCGATCGGAAGCGAAAGTTGTGCTCCTACCTTCCCTCCCCATAGTCTTCTGGGACACGCGTCAGGTCCTAGAAGACTACGGGGCCATGCGCTTCTCACGCATGCGCAGTGGGCACCCGGCTTTTATTTTATTTTTTCCAGGTGGAACTCCACTTTAATGTACCAATTGGGACCAGAGCGCTCCACTCACCATATGACGACGCAGAGAAGACGAAGCCCTGGCGGCAGTTGATGCAGACGTTTCCCAGGTTGTTGAGGAGGAAAGGGTTGTTGGTGGAACATCTGTAGCACATTGGGACCAGTTCCTGGGGAGAGACCAGAACAGACAGGTACACATGAAATAAAAGGCAATTTCTCATCCCCCGTACCGAGCTTCTTCCTCTAATTCCTCCCTCCTGTGAAGCATTACGATTATTGTGTCTGTAATATGTTGCCGACCTCCCTCCCCACATCATCCGTGTACCTGCACAGATCAGATATTAACGGAACATTCTGCTGCAACTCTGTACTTGGAGCTCTTTCACTGTGAATAAAAGAAATTCAAAGGGAAATGAACTCTTCCCCCAATACTCATCTTTCACATTAGTGCCATTGGAGCCTCCAGGTATGGGGCAGCATGTGACCTTGTTTCCTTTATCGCAGAATGCAGTGCTTGGACCTGTGTAGCCAATTGCAAGGCTGGAACACTGTTAAATGAGAAGGGGAGCAGGAGTCTCAGCAGCTTAGTTTTCCCTACTTCCCCCCCCCTCTCAGCAGTGACTCAACTACCCCTGTGCCCCTCTCCCAGCAATGACTCTGCAGCTCAGCTCACCTGCTCCCCCCTCTCAGCAGTGACTCAACTACCCCTGTGCCCCTCTCCCAGCAGTGACTCTGCAGCTCAGCTCACCTGCTACCCCCTCTCAGCAGTGGCTCAGCTCAGCTACCCCTGTGCCCCTCTCCCAGCAATGACTCTGCAGCTCAGCTCACCTGCTACCCCCTCTCAGCAGTGGCTCAGCTCAGCTACCCCTGTGCCCCTCTCCCAGCAATGACTCTGCAGCTCAGCTCACCTGCTCCCCCCCCCCCTCAGCAGTGGCTCAGCTCAGCTACCCCTGTGCCCCTCTCCCAGCAATGACTCTGCAGCTCAGCTCACCTGCTCCCCCCCTCTCAGCAGTGACTCAGCTCAGCTACCCCTGTACCCCTCTCCCAGCAATGACTCTGCAGTTCAGCTCACCTGCTCCCCCCCTCTCAGCAGTGACTTAGCAATTCCTGTGCCCCTCTTCCAGCAATGACTCAGCGGCTCAGGTCACCTGCTCCCCCCCTCTCAGCAGTGACTTGGCTACCCTTGTGCTCCTCTGCCAGCAATGACTCTGCAGCTTAGCTCACCTGCTCCCCCCATCTCAGCTGTGAATCAGCAACTCGATTCTGATCATTGCTGGAAAAGAGAGCAGAGCTCTCCCCCTTCCAGAAATGAATCAGGAATTCAACTTCCACCTCCAAGCAGTCACCTTGGAGCTCAGCTCGCTCTGCTCTCTTTTCCAGCAATGATAAGAATTCTGGGATGGGGGAGCTGAGCTGCTGAGTCATTTTTGGGAGGGGGGCAGGAGATGCTGAGCTGCCGGGAGACCAACTAAATTGTTTCTGTTGTGAACTTGGAGGATGAATTGCTGCACAGTACCTGCAGCTACAGAAGTGAGAGTTTGTTTTCAAGCTCATTTACTGCTTGTTAGGGTCAATTTTGACGTGTGTCTAAATCTCCCTTCCCTCTGAAGCCCAATCCACCCCTGGATCGCGTTGCAGAAACTGACATGCGGCAAGGAAGAGATGGGATACCTCCTCACCTGTTGTTTTAACCCCAAGACAATCATGCTACAACAGCTGCGCTTCCCCATTGACTTGAATGCGTAGAGATTAGCAAGCCCGCTGACTGCTACATGTCAGGTCAACTTAGTGGCAGTCATGAAGCAAAGCACTGCAGCCGCAGCATGAAAACATCTTCCTCCGCTGCTTATTGCAGCTTATAGAAGAGCTTCATCCAAGAGGGGAAGTTCCACTTTAAGGCTTCGTCCCATGCTCCCCGTTAAGAATTGGCACCTTTGGGGAGTGGGAGGGAGGGGGTACCCAAGTTTGACAGGTTCCCGCTCCAACTTCTGCTGCGATCGCCTTTGTGATTGGAAACGGAAGTTGTCCTCCCTCCCCGTAGTCTTCTGGGACATGTGACAGGTCCCAGAAGACTATGGAACCAGTCACAAAGCGCAACGCTACTCGCACATGCGCACTGGGAACCCAGCTGTCACAGCTGGGTGCACACACTGAAGATGCTGGTGCAGGGAAGCGAGGACAACCGGTGAACCCAGCTGTAGGGAGTACACTGCTGGATCGAAGGACGGGTGAGTGGTGGTTATTTAAAAGTTAGCAGCTACAGTTTTTGTAGCTGCTGACTTTTATTTTTTTGAAATTTGACTGGAGCTCCGCTTTAAGGGAGAGGAACCTGTGCATTTTTGCCCCCCATTTCCACCCCCCCCCCCCCAAGCAAGCCCTAAAGAATATGCAAATAGTTTAATGCCCATAGTTGGCCCACAGGTTCGCCTCCCAGCATATGTGCTCTTCTGATGGAAGTTGTGCAGAATTGTGCATGGTAAATGCAAGCGCTTTTTAGATTTGCCAAGACCCAGCACACCGACTGCCACACACCAGTTGACAATGACCCTGCATCAGCAAATCTCACCTCCTCACAGTCAAGGGGCAGAAAGGCTCAGCACTGCACTAGCTGCCCTAGTCGCTCCAGAAATGATGGCAGATAAAGGGGCATTATACATTTTCACAAGTATCAGACATTTTTTTTACATTTAGGTTATGAACAAAAGCATAAATCACTAAAATAACATAAAAAAAAAACAAAACAAAAACTTTACTGCTCCTTGTGGTCTGCTTACTATTAGATGATCTCCCATTTTATTATTATTATACAGGATTTATATAGCACCAACAGTTTGCTCAGCTCTTTACAATATATAACGGGAGACAATGCAGCAACAATACAGTTCAATACAAGAGGGATAGGAGGCCCTGATCCTGGGAGCTTACAATCTAGGAGGGAGGGGCTAGTGGTACAAAAGGTAATAACTGTGGGGGATGGACTGGTAAGAGGAATAGAAGATTCCATTATTAGCTGAGGGCAGGATAGGCTTCCCTGAATAGAGAGGTTTTCAGAGATCGCCTAAAAGTGAGCAGAGTAGGCGATAGTCCGATAAATTGGGGTAGGGAGTTTCAGAGGATGGGGACGGCTCTGGAGAAGTCCTGGAGACAAGCATGGGAGGAGGAGACAAGGGAGCTAGAGAGTAGAAGGTCGTGGGAGGAGCGGAGAGGACGGTTTGGGTGATATTTGGAGACAAGATCAGTGATGTAATTTGGGGCGGAGTTATAAATGGCTTTATATGTGATTGTTAATGGTTTGAATTTTATTTGTTGGGTAATGTGAAGCCAGTGGAGGGATTGGCAGAGAGGGGTGGAGGACACTGAGTGGAGGGATTGGCAGAGAGGGATGGAGGGCACTGAGTGGAGGGATTGGCAGAGAGGGATGGAGGACACTGAGTGGAGGTCAGTGGAGGGATTGGCAGAGAGGGATGGAGGACACTGAGTGGAGGCTAGTGGAGGGATTGGCAGAGAGGGATGGAGGACACTGAGTGGAGGCCAGTGGAGGGATTGGCAGAGAGGGATGGAGAACACTGAATGGAGGCCAGTGGAGAGATTGGCAGAGAGGGATGGAGGACACTGAATGGAGGCCAGTGGAGAGATTGGCAGAGAGGGATGGAGGACACTGAATGGAGACCAGTGGAGGGATTGACAGAGAGGGATGGAGGACATTGAGTGGAGGCCAGTGGAGAGATTGGCAGAGAGGGATAGAGGACACTGAGTGGAGGGATTGGCAGAGAGGGGTGGAGGACACTGAGTGGAGGGATTGGCAGAGAGGGATGGAGGACACTGAGTGGAGGCCAGTGGAGGATTGGCAGAGAGGGATGGAGGACACTGAGTGGAGGGATTGGCAGAGATGGGGGATGGAGGACACTGAGTGGAGGGATTGGCAGAGAGGGATGGAGGACACTGAGTGGAGGCCAGTGGAGGGATTGGCAGAGAGGGATGGAGGACACTGAGTGGAGGCCAGTGGAGGGATTGGCAGAGAGGGATGGAGGACACTAAATGGAGGCCAGTGGAGAGATTGGCAGAGAGAGATGGAGGACACTGAGTGGAGATCAGTGGAGGGATTGGCAGAGAGGGGTGGAGGACACTGAGTGGAGGCCAGTGGAGGGATTGGCAGAGAGGGATGGAGGACACTGAGTGGAGGCCAGTGGAGGAATTGGCAGAGAGGGATGGAGGACACTTTGGGCAGAGTTATAAATGGCTTTATATGTTATTGTCATTGACTTATTGTGGTCAGAACAACTTCAATGACGTGACTTTTTCTATAACAATATGGGGATCATTTACTAATATTGGAGAGTGTAAAATCTGGTGCAGCTTTGCACACAAACCAATCAGCTTCCAGTTTTTATTGCCAAAGCTTAACTGAGCAAGCTGAAGTTAAAAGCTCAAAAAAACAGCGCAAACTAATTAAAAAGACAAAAAACAAAAAAGTGTGAGTGATAACTTGCACCATTTAGATGATTTTGAATACGCTGGGAATTATATTATTTTATTGAAGTTTCTTTCGAAACACGAGACTCTTTGAGACTTAATTTGTTTTTTTTGTCTTTTTAATTGGCTTGCGCTGTTTTTTTTAGTGTATTTTGATGTTTTTTTCATCTCTTGAGCAGCAGCATTGTTTGATTGTGTGTTATTTTCTTTGGCGCAGGTTATCTCACAAAATTGAAGTGAGAAGCTGATTGGCTACCATGCACACCTGCACCAGATTTTGCACTCTCCAGTTTTAGTAAATCAATCCCTATAGGTCATGTGACTGCACATTGGGGAAATTGATGAAATTGCTCGCTGTCACGACGTCCTAAGCGGCCTCACACGTAGTCTTGCATACTTTACTGCGCCGTGATCCTGGCTCCGGTTATTACAGAACATGAATTTCCGTATGAATCAAAACTTGTCAGCAGCCCGGAGGAGCACCGGCCCCAGTCCTTTCCATGTAACATGACTACAAGACATGGCCTGCTCTGCCAATATTCCCCAGCTCTTTATTAGCGCACAGATCTCGTGTGTGTGATTCTCCGACAGCTGGGAACACTCAGCGGAACCAGATGTGAGACTTCAGAGAGGTTAACCCCCTCTCTGCTGAAGCCTAATTAGATAATGATTTATTTCACTCGCTCTCCAGATT